TTCCAAATACGCGTGGTGCTCGGGCCGCGCGCTCTGACTTCGGCCAATAAAAATGCGTCAGCTGATCATTGTCATTTCTGCCACTTGCGTGTGGTGAAATGGGGTCATAACTTATAAGACGGCTTTTTCATATCAATTATTTTACATAAAATCATATTTCAAACCATAAATAATGTTCGACAGCCAAATAAAAGAAACAATACCAATACGGGCTTACAGTTTAAGGCTCGACATTGTGTTGTCTACGATTAGACAGCTGATAACTCATTCCCGTACGTCGTATGGTCGTAACACTATAATGACCTTTGCTTATTGTCACAAGTGCGCCGCATTCGCGATTGTTGCCCGACGCCTGTTTGCAGGTGAGCCCACTACAGTTGTTATACATATCTAAAAACCGAAAAACTTTTAGGCGAAAAAGGCACTATTCCAGGCCCATTTTTGATTTTTTTTTTTGCGATTTTAGGTAAAAACAGAAGCTTCTTATCCTAGGAAAAATAAAATGGGAAATCTTTCAAAGGTGGCACACTACCTTTAAGGATTTGCCGCTTGTTATTTCTCAAGTGATGGCCTGGCTGTGGAATCAAGGTTAATCTAGGAGTGACGTTAGATTAGCATGCCAATTCAACAGAATGGCTCAACCGCTCAAATATATGAATTTACTAACATTCTGCAATATAACACGATTTATAAGCTAAATTGAACAACTTGCTCCGTTGCACTGTGCTTATCTTTCAAAAATGGCCGAGAAATTCATCTCAGCTTGCGTTATTTTCTAGCGTCTCGCACGTGCCAACTCCAAAATAATACTTCGGGCCATGAGCCTTTTGAAGAAAAAAAAATGGACTATAGTGTTATGTGCCAAATTGAAGTCACCATCGAAAAGCAAGTTACGTTTCTGTGCGTAGATGCAGTCTCCATAGCTTTTAGAACCCGACGCAATAATCTGATGCGTATTGGGCTTACCGAAGCCGATACTATCTATTTTTATTTTTTGAGATTATGGTCAAGTGAGCGAGAGCTAATGAGTAGGATAAGATGTGTTTTATGTCTAGGAAACATATAATAAACTTTGAACACCGTTGTCTTCGTCTCGTCTCGCATTCGACGGCCCGCTCGTTTCCCTTTTGCGCGGCAGGCTTCATTAGGACTAAATACCAAGGAACTGGAATCACGTCAAATCCTCCCGCGCCGCCGAGGGCAAAATAGCTACCAGGAACGATTCAGATGAGCGCCAATTATTGTGTGAGATCAATGAATGAGTGACTTCTGAGTGCTGACCATAAGGCACCGGCCCGAGGCCGGAAGCATAGCCATCCCAAAGTATCGGCGAAGTCTTGGAGCTAGAATTCAGCACGGAGTAGGCACTGAACGATTGGGTTTCTCAGTTGCACATCTTGGCCGTTACCTGATACCATCGGACACGAGTCCCAAAGGGACCTAGCAAACTTTCCTTCTAACAGTTGGCCGGAGACCCTGTCGGTATAACATTTAAAACTGCCTCCATGTAAAGACTGCTCGTGTCTCGGTGTGGAAGCCATCGCCATTTTGCGGTTCGCCATATCCCTTCAGTTTCGCTGCGCGGTTCTCTCGCGGTACATTTAGCCTTTCTCCACCATTCGCCATCGGCAGCCAGAAAGGAAGACTGCACTGACCCCGTGACCCAGCCTGCAGGGCATTTCAAGTCGGCGGTAGCGCCGCACGGTGATAAGAACGGGCGGGTATGAAGCCGTAACTCAAGTATCATAAGCATGCGATTGGCACTTGACTAAATACCTTTAACCCTCGCCCGCACATGCCATTTTCCCATCCTAGAACGCACATGGGGGGGGGGGGTTGCCACCCCCCCCCGCGCCATTTCGTTCCTGTTGGAGATAGAGCTTAGCAGTAAAGAACAAAAAGATTCTTCGGGAAGAGACGAATCCAATGATACCCAGTTTTACCTTCTCAGGTCAGTCATTGACCTTCCAGGTCAGATCAAACTAAAAAATGTTGCTGTTTTGGGTCACCGTTGGATATCAAGTGCGCTGCTTATCAAATACCGATGACGATGCTGTTTTCTGGTGCCAAGCCAGCTAGAACCTCTTTGTCACACTATCCGACCAGAATTTTGCTGCTGAGGTCATTTCAGGTCAAGTTAGGTCAAGGTCAATTATATGTGTTTGTATGTTTGTGTGTGTCTGTGTGTATACTGATGTGTGCACCGATTGTTTTTGGGTCAATATCACATGAAATCATGATCTGAGAAGCTTTTACCAAAAATGCAGTCAAAAAACTTCACAAAAAGTAAATTCAGCTTGCCTAAAACGCAATTATCTTAGATGACCTAGGTTGACCTTGACCCTGACCTTGACCCCTGTACATCGTCGAACAGCATGTTCCATGATAGGTGGGAGGTAAGACTGGCAAAAAAGGCCGAAATCAGGGTGTCAAAAGCTCACAAGGCCCATGGCAAACGCGAGATGTTGAGAATTGGCCATTTGGGTCATGACATGACCTGAAAAACAAGGTCATATCTCCGAAACCGAAAATCACAGAAACTTGAAATTTTCAGTGGACATCAAGAAAGGATAGACGAGCAGCTATACGAAAAATCAGCCTTCTAGCTCTAAAAATGTTGAGTGCAGAGCAGAAAGACTGCCTGGGGGGGTGGCAACCACCCCCCCCCCCCCGCCATGTGCGGGCGAGGGTTAACTTGCACTAGGAGAGTCATAAGTGCCATTTCCACTGTAGAAAGGCAATTTTTCTTAAAATTGGCGAGGATTTCTCGGAACCATTGTTTGCTTAACGTCCTCATGGCGACTGGCCATGGGATGTAAAGTTCTCGTTTTGCTTGATCAACGTTCGCAGACATGTTTTTCAGCATGTGAGATATGCAGATTATGTATTACCATTAAAGGTTCGTATTAACCACCATAACTTTTTCTCATTATTTAGTAGACACCCGTTAGATGTATGCGTCTACGACTTCCTCGCTCCGTGTCTTAGCTATAGCTACGTCGAAAGGATAGGAAAGGTTGAACTGAATATCGGACTCTGTGATGATTGTCGAATACTGCGGGTATTCGTTATAAAAAATCATTTTTAATGTCTTGAGCTTCACATTCTTTGCCATTTTTTTTTACAATCAATTCAAATTCATGCGCGGATTTCATTCCAACACCAATCCCTAGCGCTCTACCTAGGTACAATTTGACAAAGTTCTAATCACATCTTCTTATTGCGCTGCCGCTATACATCTCGAGAAATAAACGTGCTGACACCATGGCATTTGGTAGTGATAGGTACAATAAAAATGCTAAATGATGATGAGGAAGCAAAAGTGAAGCACGCTGGTTTTAGAGCTTTCCCAAATATTCACGCAAAACCATGTTGTGCCTATTTGAGAGCGGCAGACTAACCTGACAATTGACGCATACGGCTCCAGCCGCATAGTCTCCATTGTTTCGGCCTTAGCTCTGACTCCGGACGATTTTCCTCTCCCTCTACCTCCGTCTCTTTATACCACCACTTTCAGCTCCTCCGCTCCAGTCTGAGACGTCTACACCGGCGCCTGCGAGGTCCGTCGCAAGAGACAAGCAGCCGCCAGCGAAACCCTATACACACCGACTGAGCTCAGTCTGCTCCGCGCCGTCGCTACTACCACGTGCATCCGTGTAGCGGTGTGCTACATGCACGTGCAGCGGTGCTCCGCCCGGCACGGGTTGGTCGTCACTCTCGACAGTCGAGGCGTGGTCCGCCGGGGCTGATAAAGGGCTAGGGTGTATAGGGGACCGAGCTGTGCACAGTCCGGTACCCCCTCGATATGGGTAATGTTTCGCAATATTGCATTGACGAATTGTATATTTTAGCATAATTGTAGAAATCCTCTGGTATAATTTTTATCCATCGGACTTACCTATCCCTCTCCTCGCGGACTACAGCCAGCACGAAGGGACCCCCCCCCCCCCCAACCAGCAGGGCGGTGGAAATCGAAGATCCCCAGCGGGGCGCGGGTTAAAGTAAATGCAAACCTTTTTCCTCGGCGAACATAGACTTATCATGCATAAGCAGCACCAGCAGCAGTTATCTAATATCTCACACTCATACATTGACATAGTTATCCAATCCAGGTATCGTTTAGGCATCTTCGATGGGTCTGAAAGTCCTGTCCCCACCAGCGCCATCTACGCAAATTAGTTCTCCGCGGGGACGACACTGGCCAGAGGAAGCACCCTGCTTTGCCACTCCCCACCCACTCCTGGACCACGCCATCTACGCGTGGGAACCGGTCCGTCGTTCCGTTACCGCGAACCGGGATCAGATTGGCGGGCCGCTGCAGCTCACCGCAATTGATGGACCTGAGGTCTGGTGTGGAGAGCTACCGCCACCTGGTGCGGACTGACGGAAGCATTGAATGATAGTGGAACCCACAGGTAGAGACCGCAGCCGATAAAAAGGCATCTGATGCGAATCTGCGCATATGGAGATTATGTATTTTTTTAGATGATGTATTATTTACATATGGAACATGCCTGCGTGTCAACAGCGACGTGACAGTCACCAAGATGAACATCTCTCAGCTAGAGGGCTGCCAGCATTGGAAGTCACAAAAACCGATGAGGGAATTGAAAAATATTACAGCTATAGCGTTGGCTATAACCAATGCTCGACAGTCAAATTTCACAGTAGATTCACTTTTCCGATATTATTCGAATCATCACAGATCCAAAAGGCAAATACCGTACTGCGGATATAAACCTCATAGAAGCAAAAAGAGGAAAGAGAAACAGAATAAAAGCAAAACAATAAAGACAACTGAGTTTGAGTTCCTAGCCGGGATGCCGCTGTAGAAATGCAAAATATCAAGATCTCATTTGAAACGCTTGCGGCTTATAAAAAAAAATGTGATACCGGTAAAACGCTTAATAGCGAACAATAAGTGATGCTTTGGAAACCAATGAAGGAGTGGATTTCACTCTAATTCGCACATAACAACGAAAGAATAAAATCATTGTTAAAAAAAAAGAACGGTAACCCGGGCACAAGGGGACTAGGCCCATGGTTTGCGCCACAACTGTATCAGAACAGCGGCTGCAACAGTCATGTCCGAGCACTACTAGTCGAGGCGAGCACTACCAGAGCACTACTAGCCAGGCCAGAGCACGTCATAGGCGATAGCCTAGCGACCCTCAGAGCGATTCAAGCGGTACGGAGCGTCTGTATGTACTCACCGATAAGCACGCCTTGCTTCTTTGAGTTTAAGACTGCTCCGACGGCGAAGCTGTTGTGCCCATCTCGGCTCACACCGCTTCAAAACAGAACAGCCAAGTGTAGCTCATCCCTGGCCCAGTATTCTGTGGTCCCTGTCCATTGCCCTCCGTTTCATCAGCACAGATCACAACCCACCCTCCCCACAGTTTATGTATAGACCCCGTGACCAGCGCAGCTCACGACTTGCAGTCCTCGTGATAGGGCTGCAGCGTCTTGAGATCCCGCCAGGTGGGCGGCATCGCGTTCAGCAGGCGACTGCCGCACTTGACGCACGGCTCCGAGAACAGCTTCATGTAGCTGTAGATCCAGGTGAGGTAGGAGCGTAGCGAGAACTCGGGGTATAACGGCCCGTAGTAGTGCACCATCGCCGCCTGGGCGTTCTCCGACACCTTCCGGAACACGTGGTAATCGGAGGGCGTCCACAGGTCCACACGCCCGTCCTCTGTCAGCATGGGCTCGTCGTAGCCGCGGATCAGCACCCACTCGATCAGCAGGCCCTTGAAGGTGATGACCGCCTTCAGGACGTGGTCGAGGTCCACCTGTACGACGGCCGAGTTGGTGCCGTAGGGCCGGCTGATGCTCAGCTGCATGCCGTTGAAGGTGCCGCCGATGGTTTTCAGTATGGCGTCCACATGCTGCGGCGGCTGGCAGTGGCTCGTCTGCGCCATGCGCCGCTTCCGCACCAGGGCCGTCTGCTGCGAGCGCTTGACGCCGTTCTGTGCCCAGATGGGCACCGCGAACGCCGAGTAGTCGCGCACCTTCTCCGTCCACTTGTAGCTGTCCAGCAGGCGGCCGTACAGTACCTGCCGAGAGGGAAAGACGTCACCGTGAAAAATACACGTCTCTTACAAAAAACGGCATTTAACAAAGTCACTTGCTCATCAAAAAATAAAAATGGAACAAGCAGCATGCATTCCTCCATATCTGACAGTCCCAATGAGAACACAGCCCATTATTAGAGCTTAAACATCCAAATGGCACACACCGAGAAAAAAAATGTGAACAGACCTGCATGTCCAGCGTTGGATCCAGACTGAGGAAGCCGGTGTTCCCCAGCTGAAAGGCGCCGGACGGCACCGACAGCTTGTTGACGCTCTCCTCCACATCATGCAGTCGCCGCGTCACCGTGTTCAGCGTCTCCTTCAGGTTGATGACGTACTGCTTGCGCTGCGTGTCATCGTCCCCCGACTCCGAGTTACCCTCGGTCATGTAGCGGAACACGTCACAGACACTGGTCCTCAGCTGCTGCACGCAGTCCAGAGCCTTCGACAGCGACTCCACCGTCTTCTCAGCCATGGTGCTGGACAGTCAGAGGCCTCCGGGACTCAGTGCAGTGCCTGAAACAATGGAACATGCAGAGGCTACATTGATGGAAATCGATTTAGAAAATTTAGGTCAAATACTTCAATGGATGGATTGAAAGATCCAGGACCAACACTTTGTTAAGTGTTGGTCTTTAACCCACGCCCCACTAGGGGGGGGGGGGGGCTATTGATAGCCCCCTTTCGCTTTTCCGCAATATCTTTTAATCCGCTAGATATATCAACACGAAATTTTCAGTACCGGCGCCACTACCGGCCCTACCGGCACCTGGCCTGCGTGGTGCCGTCTGCGTGGCGCCGGGCGACCATCAGGGGTAAACTTCGATCGTGATTACGGCCACAAAAATAACCCGTTACCCGTAACGGGTAACGGGTTATTTTCACAATCAGGGGTTAAGGGTCGGGGTAGGAGAAACGGTTTCTCCTACCCCTACCCTTAACCCGTGATTGTGAATACGGCCATTTGTGTCAAAAAAAAATATTAGCTACAATAGGTGGGCTAGAAATGATGTCCAGCGATGCGGAGCCGTGAAAATTTCAGACGGCTCCGGCTCCGGAGTAAAAAATCGGTTCCAGCTCCGGCTCCGGCTCCGGGTGAAATGTCATGGCGGCTCCGGCTCTGGCTTCGAAGAAAAAAATCGGCTCCGGCTCCGGCTCCGGGTGAAATGTCATGGCGGCTTCGGCTCCGGCTCCGGGCAAAATGTGCCGGCTCCGGCGGCTCCGGCTCCGCACCCCTGGATGTCAGTGTAATGAAAATGAAATTAGGTTTAGTTTCATAGTTTTTCCGGGGCTATCAGATACCACTTACATTTTGACAATTGGCACAGTAGTTTCGAAATCACGACCAGTGGGGTTTATTACAGGACATACCCCAGACTGGAAATCATCCATACACTACGCCGGCTGCCCGTGAGAGTTGAGACCCTCTTGCGCCGAAATTCGGCGCAAGCGATTATGCGCTGAAATTTCTGCATGATTTGCGCCGAAAATTGGGTGCCTATTTGCGCTTTTATATAAAACACATAAGCACATCTACCGACCAAGGCTATATCAACCAGACAGAGCGTTTCGGGGCCTTGGACGCTCTTCCATGTTTGAGCATCCGAACTTCGAATAAGGTTTTTGTTTATTTCCACGGAAATCGAATTCCTCAATACGCTTAGCGCACTGTAGCGTCGTGCCGTGAAACAAGGCCGGAGCCGCAAGTTCCGGGGCCACAAAAATTGGCGGAGCGTCAGCAGTGCGCTTGAGGCTGGCGGGAGCCAGCGAGGGCCGGGCAGCGGAGCAGCACGTGCTCCGGCACATCAGCCTCTTCTCGGCACACGGCGCAGAGCGCCGCGGGGCACCGTTTGTATGGGCACTGCTGGCACGCCGCAGAGTGGATACAGCTGATTCGGTGCACTGCACGTACTGGAGCGAGCGGCCCCGGTGGCCCGCCCTCACCTGGTACACCGAAACGGCGTCCTCTCGATGCACTCCGGGGATAGGGAGCGCCAGCGTGCTCCCACGGAGTGGCTTGAGTAGTGACTCGGAAGTCGGACCAGTTGTCGCGCCATTGATGCGATGTCGCACAATGAACCACCACGGTCACTGAGCGGGCGTTTGAGTGCAGGGCAGCCGCTTGTTTCCCCAGGTCGTCCGCGCTCTCATGGGCCGCAGTGGGCAGGAACCGACAGCAGTCTTACTTAACGATGCTCGGTGATGGTCAACAAGCAAAGTCTTCTAAACCTATCTCCACGCTGAGGGTTGAGGCCCCACCTGGGCGACTGCTCCTTCACTGAGTAGGCTAAGGGCGGCTGCCGGCTCACCAATTGAGTTGAGTACGCAACGACCGTGGCAGGGACGTCTCATCCTGAATCTGCTGCTAGATTGACCAGTGTGCTGACTTAATTATAAATTTGGTGACTGCCTTCTGCCAAGAAATTATGCGGCCGCCCTGCGCTGAAAAATTCAGCGTCATGCGCTGAATTCGGAGCATGCTAAGTTACACCAGTCGTGCTCTGAAATTCTCAGTGCAATCCTGCCACTACTTTGAACATATTCGCCATAATGTGTATTTTTTTCCAGTCTGGACATACCCCAGTGGGGCCAGGATAGCACTTGATTATCATTTAAAAGCATTGCAACTCCATTATGCTGGGGCTCAAGCTCTAGCCTTAAGCCATTTTGAACTTGTGGAAACTGGAATGTGAAATGTGGAAACTGGAAGCAGAGCTCAAGCTGACTGCTGAGCAAGACTCCAAATAGCACCATGGCCTCATTATGATTATGATTAGTCAGACAGCATCACTATAAAAAATGAGCCATCCATCAATCAGTGGAATTATTGTTTCAAATAAAAGTTATGACCAAGTACCTACTCACCCCGTCCGTTATTTCTCACGTAACAGTAATATCAATGCAATACAGCAATTACGAACCTATCTATAAAATATGAATTATTTTTTGAAACGTATCATGCAAGCCGCACTGCAGTAGGGTGTTCTATTTTAGACATTGTTCCGGAGTGATATTATTTTGTCAACAAATTGCCTAGCAACTAAGAGCCTGAGCAGCGAAAGCTTACTTTGAACAAATCACAAGCGGCTATTTAGCCAGCGTTATCTCAAATAAAACAAAATTGCTCGAAGATGCTGAAATCGAGAATGAATGGAACGCGTCATTTATGTATTATATTCAGAAAGTCGAGAGACAAGTCGACACTCATTTGGATAACGCAGATAGGCTTCTGGTTTGAACTGCATGTGAGTATGCAGGATTTTTATTAAATTTTTAATTTATAGTAGGCATCACATTCGAAAATGTTCCACCTTGCAACAGCCAACATCTTCCTTGAAATTGCCCTGCCTGATGGTTCTGCCTTTGGTCGTTGTTTGCTTTTACACAGGTGTTCAGAGGCTTATTTACAAGGCAATTTAAAATCACTATTGAGGAAATATTTCATCCAATCCAAGTTTTCAGGAAAGCATTGTTCAGAAGTGTTTCCCAAGGCTATTTTTAACCTGTTATTTTACATTGAGAAGTAGATTCCAATTCTGGATATAGGAAATGTGTCTTTTCTTTTCATTTTGGTATGTAAAGGTCTAGACCATCACCACCAATTTTTTCGAACTGGAAGCTCAATATGTCCTTTTGCTGAGATCCGTATCATACTGTTGGTCATAGGTACTGTTGACAATTGTCATATTGTTAACAATAAAAGTTATTGTTATTGTACACAGTAGAAACACAATTTATGTCTTGTTTTCCATGGACTTCCATAATCTTGCACATATCTTGTGCTTTGAGATGGTGAATAAGGTAAAGGACTTGTGCATAAGAAATGAGTTTTTGAGGTCATGTCAGCTTTCCATTAACTATTTGACCATCATTTTCTTTGCAGATTCAACATGGGTTTCATGAAGCTCCTTAAGTCATCTCCAGTAATTAGAGACCATAGGTTTCCAAAGTTATTCCTGCTGTTACTCATCAACATTTCTTCAACTGGGCTGTTGATGCACTGGTGTCATGCCTCAAACAGCATGGGTGAGTAGGTATAAACATTGATTCTTCACTGACTTTTGAGGAGGAGGTTAAGATTATCATGCAAGCTTTCTTCTGGTTTCTTTTGTTCAACGCTAGCCTGTGCAATTTACATGATAATGGATATGGTATTTTGACCATAGGTACTCCACTCAGAAAACAATAGCAGAGCTTAGACAGTGGAGTTAAGAACTAAAGTGACTCAACATGTCTTTAAAAGATCAGCTCAATTAATTCATATTGAAAGATAAAAAACTTAGTTTTTATCAGTTTCAGCTATTGGCAAGCATATTCACATTTTTATCTAATGTCCAGAACGTCATTGGGCGCCTGCATCTCTCTCCCGCTGACCTCTGCCCTCCGGCAGTGCTGATGGCCTACACCTGCCTGAGCTACTTCCACCTGCTGTCTCTGCTCACCTCGCTGCTCGGCCTCTGGGTGGCCACCCGGCGGCCCGAGCTGGCCATGTCGTACGGCTTCGAGCGCTGTGAGACGCTGGCCGTCTTCAGCAGCACGGTACTCGCCCAGCTGGCCGCCCTGTTTGTCTCAGTCAGCTGCGCAGAGAGGCTCTTCTTCCCGCCTGATGTGGCCACGTGAGTAAATAGATACAGGTGCGGTGGGCCGGTGGTATTCGAATAACCGTAGATACGGGACACGATTTAAGCATGAAGGCCAAGAGGCGTGCCGTGCCACTCCCGCTGAGCGTTTTGCGATTTCCGCCCATAAATATGTACCATTTACACTGATGACCGATAATTACGCCGCCCTCACCGTGCGTTATAGGTCCGTGCTCACCGGGCGTTATACCGGCGTATCCATCGAGCGTTAAATCGTATCCACCGGGTCCGTTATACCGTGTCCACCGAGCGTTATGCCCCGTCCACTGAGCGTTTCGCTGTTCCAGTGGACACAGCGCTGTGTCTCATCCCTTGACCCCTCTCCGTCCGTCGGCAGTGGTCGGATGGTGCTCGGGGCCGCTGTCGGCCTTCTCTGCCACCTTCTGCTGGTATACAGCGGGCCGAGCCGAACCCTGCAGCACGTGATCGAGGTGTCCCCCTCCAGCTGGCTGCAGGAGCAGTTCGCTGACGTCTGTAGCAGGTGTGTGGACGGTGGAGGGAGGTAGGGGTAACGATGGTGTCAGGTTTGTGGGCTTGGATAGGTGGAAAGGCGCGGCGGCATCATGTGGAAAAACTGGTGGCATGCAATGGTCTGCCTGGAAATTGCAAATCAATGTGATTTTTACATTGAGTTTTGTTTGAGTAACAAGTTCAGTGTCGATTTGCGTATCGACAGAATTGTGTGTCCGGTAATTGTGTTTGACCGGACTTTTTAAAATTAGTCTATGATGGGGCGATGGGGAGAACCATTCTCAGCTGTGAATCTCCATGTCATTAACTCTCCACTTCCGTGTGCTTTCGCCCCGTCGCCGCCCACCTAACCCTCCCTTCCCGGCAGTCTGTGCGGCGTGGTGCCGGGCCTGGGCCGCCTCCTTCTGCCGCGCGTACACACGTTGGCTCTGCTCTCCGTCTCGGGGGCGGCCCTGGTGGCTCTGACGGCGGCCGGTATCGACGCGCGACACTATCACGTGGTGGACCCCATAGCGGGCCTGTGCCTGGCCGCCTGTCTGGTGGGCACTATGTACCCGCTGTGTGTCAATGTCGGCAGGTCTCTGCTGCAGGTCAGTAATGGTGGGAGATGAAGGGGTAGGCATTGTTATAGTGTGGAGTTTGGGGAGTGAGGTGGACTGCAGGTTTGGGCATGCATATTTTTAAGGTTTGATTTCTTTAATGAGGTTGTTACATGCACAGCGTTATCTGTCCAATGTGCAGGATTGAGTTATTTATTATACTTTCGTTCAGGGGTCCGATACCGGGCAGGCAGCTAAGGAATATATCAGTAATGTATGTGCTTGCTCTCAACGTTGTGAATTGAATCGTTTTCTAATAATCATGTCAGCCTCAAACCTGATCATCCTTGTTTGTGCCAATGCATGAGTATAACGTGAGTATTTCCTTCTCGCCCCTCTCTTACAGACGACACCTTCACACGTGGTCTCACAGCTGGACAAATGTCTGCGTGAGGCGCTCACACTGGATGGTGTGCTCGAGTTTCGGCACGAGCACTTCTGGACCCTCTCCACCGGAGTGCTGGTCAGTGGCGCGCTGCCTTGGGGCTCTCGTTCCCGGGGAACCTAGGGCTGTTCCCTAGGGGTGGGCGCTGATATCAGGCTTGACTGCATTTTATTGGCTCACATTATTAGCCCGCATTTGAACCCGCGCCCCACTGGGGGGGGGGGGGGCTATTCATAGCCTATTCATAGGGGGCTATTCATAGCCCCCCTCCCGTTTTTCTGCAATAACTTCCGAACCGCTTGACGTATCGACGCCAAACTTTCAGTACCTTCGGCTGCATCAATTTGACACCTTGGGTCAAAATATGAACTTCGTAGCTACCATAGGTCGGCCGGAAATGACGTCAGAATGACGTCATGTTCGGCCGATTTCGACGCAAAACATTGAACCACGGCAATCGCTCCCAAGAGCTCAGTTTTAAAAGCTAGATCCAATTTATTTGCATGAAAAGACTCAGTATAGACTGCGCTATCAAGCTGCTATCTCGGATTTTCGAAAATTTTATATAATATAATTCAAAATTTATATTTTTATATTTTTTCAAAAAGTTTTTGACTTTTCGAAAAAAACGGAATATATGTGATAGAACACATGCTTACGACTAACTCTTAGTAAGTTTTAGCTAAATATCTTCAAATATGGCCCAAGTTATACGCATTATTGCAAAAAAATCAAAATATTAAGTTTTCAAATCAATTTTTCAGTACGTATTTGAGATCGTACACCAATATAAATAGCACCATCGTGTTCCTGAGCTCAAACTGCATCCAATAGACACCTTTTTTGTTGAAAAATTTTAACTTCAAAATTTGACCTTTTTTACCTGAAAGTGACCTGGCCTAAGCTAAATTCGTCTCAAAATGACCTCGAATGACACAGACGACATCAAATTCGAAATCTATGGCCTAAATGGACCATAAAACATGTGTCACGTGACCGACGCATGATATACTATTTCCGTGACCTATGATGACCTGACCCTGACCTGAAAATCAAAGGACAAGTTTGGTACCCTCAGGGTGTCTAGAGCATCTGTTCACGAGTGTGTAAACCAAAATGAGCCTGATCTGACTTGTAAGACGGCGGCTAGAGCCCAAAATGTGAACAAGCCAAAATGCTAATAATTTTTACTTTGACCTGACCTGTGACGCCATCGGTGACCTCGAGGTCAATGAAATTAGGTTTCTTTCGACAGTTTTCCGAGGGCTATCAGACGCCGTTTGAATTTTGACGATCGGCCCAGTAGTTTCGGAGTTAGGAGGGGGCCCAGTAGTAAAACGCCCCCCCCCCCTCCAGTAGGGCGTTTTACACGCATACCTCAGTGGGGCGCGGGTTAACTTACATTGGATTATTTACATTACTGACTGCATCTGCACTCGTAGAATTCGTAGAATTCAGCCTGCTCCAGTATGTACCCGCTCATATCGTTGCTCGCTGGTTAACATTTTACCTAACATCGCTCCCTCAGGCGGGCTCCCTCCATGCGAGGGTGCGCCGGGACGCCAAGGAACAGGAGGTCCTCTCGAAGGTGTCGGCCAGATTCGCCAGTCTCGTACACGTGCTGACCGTTCAGGTAGGTGTCGGGGGGCAGCCGGGGAGGTGTGTTATGGGGCTGCGAGCTGTTGGGTTGATGCCATCTCTGTGTTCTGTTCAATGTGACCAGTTTGATCGGTCAGTCCGGTATTTACTACACCGGTTGCAAATGTGAGCCGACACGGGCTACCAAATCATGTGACAGCAAGGGTGAAATGTGCTTGTAGTTGTAGCCCTACCGCCTCATTACGGACGCTCAGTCACGTAAAGTTCTAGCTATAAAGCTTTCGTCTCTGTTCTTGCAATATTTCAAGTTTCATTTCAATTTTCAATATGTACTTTTGTCGCACACCTTGCCGGTCCTCACGAAGCCCCATGTCCCACCGTCGCCAGGTATTCAAGGACGACTGGACGCGCAGCCAGACCACGCTCCACCTGCTGACCTCGTCCGCCCTGGCTCTGGATCAGACCACGTACGCTCCGCCGCGCTACGCCACGCCGCGGCTCAACAACGACTACTCCTCGCGGGGCAGCTTCTCCCCGACTGAGAGCTCGCCGCGACCGGGTGCCACTGTCGCCAGCGCGCCGCTTCTGGCGACGGCAGCGAACGGCGGCGGCGGGGACGCGCAGAGGCTGTACCTGAGCGCCCTGGAGCCGGCGACGGTGGCGCCGCCAACCGACCGCGTGGCGTACTATGTAAGCGGCGACGGCGCGCCGCGGTGGACGGTGGCGGCCTCTACGGTGGCGGCGGGAGGACGGCGGTGAACGGTGGGTGACGGGGAGGGGAGGGAAGGGTGGGGATGGGGAGGGGTACACTTGGATGTCTGCAACCATCAGGGTTGGCGGTCGAGCTCTGATGAGGATGGAAGGCATAGCAGAGGACGCCCGAATTGGTGAAGAGCTGGCACTTGACAGCCGGGGACCTAGTCGCTGTTATGGTGTGCTTATAAGCCAGTGCTGCGGGACAGGAAGGTCTTGACTGTGACGCCTTAGGAATGGCTAAGGGAGGAAATATTTTGCGCATGGAACAAAATATCCATTTTTGTGAGGTAGTATTTCGTTGGCCATGGGGTATGTGGTGGTATGAGTATCAGCTGACGAGCTTATTATTTCACCGTATTCGATTTCGCCCTGTAACTTTCTTTTTGCAAGTTTTTTTTTCTGCTTATATGCTTTCATATTTTTATGATTAGCAAGCATGTATTGAACGATTGCCCAGCAACGTGATGAAAGTGTGAAGTGCGTGCAGCTGTTTCAATATTGTTTTCAACTAAGATTCGCGATAAATTTCGTCGTAAAAATATCGTCGCCATTAAATAGAAGCAATTTGCTCGTCCTAACCTTTATATCATTTCAGTATTCTGTGACTTACAGTTTAATGCACATCTGTCATCGTTAAGTCAGTTATTCTTTTACAAATAACATGTTCTACAAAATGTAGGCTCAGTAAGAAGTAGGTACTGACAAGTCTCTCTTTGATACTATCTGAATGATATACTAAACTTCAAACATGGTTGCAAGGGCCATTAATGATTCGGCCTCAAGGGAGCGCTAGTGTAAAATTACAGGTTAAATGTTCCGAATAGGTCCAACGTTTCAGTTGCGCTGGTCTGTCTCTGGTTTACCGAGTTCCGATACGAGGATATCGATTACTATCCAAAAGCGACGTCCGGGCCGCGATCGCGCGCATATATTGGAATCCAACATGGATACATATGGTGAATTACACTTCTTATTGGTTCTTGGTCGCAGCTTTTATTGATGAAAATGGCTTGGTTATGTGTGGAGGTTCTACCTGGCGTGGTGTTTGCTGGCTCACCACTAAAAATCGTTGTGTATGTGTGGGCGAACGGCTGCTAAATGTGTGGTTGACGCATCGCCGTCCGTATCGAGCATCTCTATCCCACATTTGATCAGTTACATAAGCTCGTAGAGACATGGGAATTTTGAGTCGATTGTGGTTGAGCCTGTATGTTTGGACTGTTTGTAGCGATACTTAGACGATGCAGCACGATTGTAAGCCTTGTAAAGTATGGATGAAGAGCACACTTAGACACGTTTTAGGTTAGGTAGATTATCTGAAAGGTTACAAGAATTTGACATATTTCCAGACTGAGGACCGGGGTCAATCGGTATGCGGTGAACAATTCTTCACTTGACATATCCGTCTTTATGGCACTGACCGTTCTTACGAATGTGTTTATTGAATTCCACGGCCGTTTCTCTGATGTATTGGTGATGTGATCGGAGTCAGCTGCCGTCGGTATTTTCCGTGACGTGACCGGTGTGACCGTCTGACGCGTCACCCCCGGTCCTCGGACGTCACACAGACCCGAAACGGTCACCAGTGCCGACTGTGGGGTGGCCAGTGGCCATGTAAGGTCTGCGCTCCGAGGGACCCGTCCTGGGTGGTCCATGCAGCGATCTGCCCTCTATGTGAGTTGGGAGAGCCTCCTTACCGTCCGGAGACATTTGTGATAACATGTGCAAGCGACTGCGCCCGCCCATGTGATTCGTATTGTTTTGTCAAGAGAGTACAATACACGCTTGGAAGTTTCTTTGCTGTGTTAGATTTATTTGATTTAATGGCGCTTCGATATCTGCCAGCTTTACCTCCTGCTCACCAAGATCGGCCAAGATATTCATCCCGAAGATGAATAATGAAAAGCAATAAGCGTACCTACGCGTTAGATTACTGCATGCTAGGCCGCCCGCAATACAGGAGTGCCCGGCGGGATAGTCTACCTCCGCAGATGCTCAGCTGCGGACGACTCCTTAGCTCGCGTCATAAATTTCCGCCGGTGATTTGCCATTCCTCCGCGTCTGATCGGCGGTGTCGTGCATCCCAAACATTCCACCATTCCGCTACATCCTGTCGGCACTGATGCGAGCGTGCATCCTGTCTGGCGTTTTGGGTCACACGACTTGCAGCCCGTCCCGACTTCTCTCGTCTGTCAATCGGCACCAATCGGCGTGCCTTGAGTTGTCCCATTCAAGCCATCCGAGTTGCGCCGTACGTGCAAAACGTGACTCTTCGACGAAGACAGCGGCGGCTCTGTACCATTCTCGTGACGTCGCCGTCACCTAAGCGCTGTGTCCGTATTCATGGCGCATGTCAGAGCCATCGGCCAGCCGTGAGGGGACACTCAATTCTCCATCAAAACCGGGATGCACTACGCACGAGACAGCCAGCGCGTGAGTCTGTGGCGGCTATCAGGTGAGCCGATGCGGCACCGACAGCCGATGTCATCGGCCGTTTGGCTACCGGGTGACGCCGCCGCTGAGAGATCGCCGGTCGTTTTGCAACAATCGCGTGGCGCATCGCTCGTCAAAATGGCACCTTTGAGTGTTACACGGTTCCGACAGCGCACGAAACAGGATGTTCCTGACGCAGCGGTTTCAGCGTTTACCTCAAAATCCTATCTGGGCGCTGGGAGAGCGACTGGGGAAGGTGTTGCGGCCATGCCTACCGCACGCGCCGCATAAGAGCACGGTGGTCATCGCGCATCTGATCGGCCCGATCGTCGACCGCGGCACGATCGCGCGCCGGCCGAGATTGTCGGCCATCAGTTGGTGTCAGGTGGCGGCTGTCACCGCGACCGCGGCGGGAGGGACGCCCACCATGGGCGCGTCAGGGCATCGAGATAAATGTGAGGACTGTGACGAGGTGCTTACTGCGATTGAACAGCTCATGAATCTCAGATTCTTACTGAACGGGATGTCACTGTCACTCATTATGAATCATGCGATCACCAAATTGTTATAACTGATGCGATAGCTTTCTTTGCCTGTAGAAAAATATGCACTTACGGCTATCTTTCAAATTAAATGCGGCTACTGCTTTGGCATTGAATTAGCAACACAGGTCACGATATCTTGTCAAGAATGGATAGATAGGTACTAGGAACACAAGTATTATTTTTGTTCGTGCATATGTATAGCATGTCAGCATGCACTCTTACACAGCGCAACACTATTCAATCACAGATCCTAGTTCCGGCTCTGATCCGCACACCAAATTCCAAACCTGCATTAGATCAGGCTGCCAATGCGAGGCACGGAGAGCAGCTGTTGCTCGCTGGCCCGCGCCCCGGGACAGACGGGATACAACATAGTTGGTCCGGTTCCAGTGGCATCAGCAATGCTCCTAATACATGTAGCGGATCTGCTGAATGAAATTCTACCGCATGCAATTATTTAGGCGACTCCGCACGAGCAAGGAAGAAATCTCCCTCCCCCTCGTTCGGAGTCTGTTACCCAATGGAAATGTCTTCAATATCCGCCTGCTGCGCCCTTTTCATTATATGGTGGATGTTACTGCTAAAGCAATGCGAGACAGTGCGATGCACAATGTTCACGAAATGCGGCGCAACTCAGTGAACGGGATCGGGATCGGAATAATTGTACTTTATACTAGAGGTACAGGTTTACGCGATAACTGTATCTTTTGATATGTATGATAAACGGATGCATTAGTTTGGGTGTAGAAACTTGCATTTTTATTGGTATTATTTGTGTAACTGCTTTTAATTGAACTATAAAGTATGATGGTGATGCATGCGAGTTGTTCGAGCCCTTAATAAGTTAGGATGTTACTCAATTCAACCCTACCCTACCCTACCCTACCCTACCCCTAACCTACCCTACCCTACCCCTACCCTACCCTACCCTACCCCACCCTACCCCTACCCTACCCTGCTCCTACCTCTACCCCTACACTACCCTACCTTACCCTACCCTACCCTACCCTACCCTACCCTTACACTACCCTACCCTACCCTACCCTACCCTACCCTACCCTACCCCTACCCCTACCCTACTGTACCCTACCCTACCCTACCCTACCCCTACACTACCCTACCCTACCCTACCCTACCCTACCCTACCCTACCATACCCTACCCTACCCTACCCTACCCTACCGTTACACTACTCTACCCTTCCCCCTTACACTACCCTACCTTACCCTACCCTACCTACCCCTACCCTACCCTACCCTACCCTACTCCTAACTTACCCTACCCTACCCTACCCTACCTTACCCTACCCTACCCTACCCTACCCTACCCTAACCTACCCTACCATACCCTACCCTACCCTTACACTACCCTACCCTACCCTTACCCTACCCTACCCTACCCTACCCCTACCCTACACTACCCTAACCTACCCTACCCTACCCTACCCTACCCCACCCTACCTCTACACTACCCTACCCTACCCTACCCTACCCCTACCCTACAATTCCCTACCCTATCCTACCCTACCCTACCCTACAATCCCCTACCCAACCCTACCCTACCCTACCCTACCCTACCCTACCCTACACTACCACCGACAGTCCAAGTTTCAGCTAAATCGGCCCAGAAACGGCTGAGATATTGCAAAAACAAATTAATTGTATTTACTGGCGAATCCTCTTGGCGAGCGGTGCCTTGTGTCGGCCTTCGTTGTCAAAGGTCAATAACCTGCCGGCCCACTCAGTTTTTAAGCGAACAACTGAGCCTAAAGCACGTGCACTCTGCTCGGCGCTGGTCGCGGCCCCACCACGTGCACACCGCTGAACCAACCCCCTCGAAAATTTAATACGACAAATGAGTGCACGCGTTCGACTTACAGCGAAAATTTCACCCCCGTAGCCCTTACCGTTCCCGAGCAATAGCGTGTTTTTGCCGATTCTAATGTTAACCCTATGGGCACGCGAGCACGCGCCAAGGGCGCACCCCTGGCCGGATCATGTCCAAAATTTAATGCGGCCTACATGTAAAAGTGGCCCAAATCTATGTAAAATTTCACGGCCATAGGTCAACGGATGCCGCCGCAATAAGCGCTACAAAGTGACTACGTCGCACACGGCGTGGGCGGCGGCGGATTATTTAGGATTTATATTATAAATCCTAAATAATCCGCCGCCGCCGCCGCCGTGTGCGACGTAGTCACTTTGTAGCGCTTATTGCGGCGGCGTCTGTTGACCTACGGCCGTGAAATTTTACAGCAATGTGGGCCACCTTTACACGTAGGTCGTATTAAATTTTGGACATGATGCGGCCGGGGGTGCGCCCGCGGCGCGTGCTCGCGTGCCCATAGGGTTAACATTAGAATGGGGAAAAACACGCTATTGCTCGGGAACGGTAAGGGCTACGGGGGTGAAATTTTCACTGCAAGTCGGACGCGTGCACTCATTTGTCGTATTAAATTTTCGAGGGGGTGGGTTCAGCGGTGTGCACGTGGTGGGCCGTGGGGCCGCGACCGGCGCCGAGCAGAGGGCACGTGCTTTAGGCTCAGTTGTTCGCTTAGAAAACTGAGTGGGCCGGCGGGTCATTGACCTTTGACAACGAAGGCCGACACAAGGCACCGCTCGCCAAGAGGATTCGCCAGTAAATACAATTAATTTGTTTTTGCAATATCTCAGCCGTTTCTGGGCCGATTTAGCTGAAACTTGGACTGTCGGTGGTAGTGTAGGGTAGGGTAGGGTAGGGTAGGGTTGGGTAGGGGATTGTAGGGTAGGGTAGGGTAGGGTAGGGAATTGTAGGGTAGGGGTAGGGTAGGGTAGGGTAGGGTAGGGTAGGGTAGGGTAGTGTAGAGGTAGGGTGGGGTAGGGTAGGGTAGGGTAGGGTAGGTTAGGGTAGTGTAGGGTAGGGGTAGGTTAGGGTAAGGGTAGGGTAGGGTAGTGTAAGGGTAGGGTAGGGTATGGTAGGGTAGGTTAGGGTAGGGTAGGGTAGGGTAGGGTAAGGTAGGGTAGGGTAGGGTAGGGTAGGGTAGGGTAGGGTCAGTTAGGAGTAGGGTAGGGTAGGGTAGGGTAGGAGTAGGGGTAGGGGTAGGTAGGGTAGGGTAAGGTAGGGTAGGTAGTGTAAGGGGGAAGGGTAGGGTAGTGTAACGGTAGGGTAGGGTAGGGTAGGGTAGGGTAGGGTAGTGTAGGGGTAGGGTAGGGTAGGGTAGGGTACAGTAGGGTAGGGGTAGGGGTAGGGTAGGGTAGGGTAGGGTAGGGTAGTGTAAGGGTAGGGTAGGGTAGGGTATGGTAAGGTAGGGTAGTGTAGGGGTAGAGGTAGGGGCAGGGTAGGGTAGGGGTAGGATAGGGGTAGGGTAGGGTAGGGTAGGGTAGGATAGGGGTAGGGGCAGGGTAGGGTAGGTTAGGGGTAGGGGTAGGGTAGGGTAGGGTAGGTTTGAATTGAGTAACATCCTAACTTATTAACTTTATACCTAACTCCAGCTGGTCACTGATGCCTTGCATGCCTCGACGTAAAATGAGCTGATGGTTTATGATTGCTCTTATATTCAAACTTCAAAGAGAAAAGATTTGATGCTAGGTATTCAATAGCTCTTAGCTTTTTTAACTTCAGCTTTCCATGAGTGTCAATTTGCTCACCCACATCCATTGACCATGTGACCTAGCCTCGGGTTCACTACCGGCAATATACGGCCGATTGCCGAATACGGCGGCGATGACTCAGCGCCAATGGGCTGGTCCCCGATCGAGCCGCTCCGTTCGAGCCTTCAGGAGGTGTTCGACAGGACGGATTCGCCCCGATGATCCCCGTCGTGACCCGCTGCCGAATTCTTCAACGGTGACAGCTAATGGGACGCTCCCGTTTAGGAGTGACTTCCACTCGTGGTGCCTCCGTTTAGGAGAAGCCTCCACTGGAGCGCCCCCGTTTAGAATATGTCGCGGATGCTCGGGTCCCCCTTCATGAGCTGTCGAGGACGTTGAAACGTGTTCGACAGGGGCCGAACACTGGTCGGACTGGTATTAGGGGCCGTCCGATGCAGTGTCCCGCCCCGAACAGCTCAGCATATGATGATATCCTGTCCGGAAAGAACAGTTCCTGATCGCAATAATGATCCGAACGGGGTAGTGGGGTGGGATGAAACGCGGAAACGGGGCGTCGAGATGGGATACAGAACGACACGGGCTGGGACGGCGGGAAACGAAACGGGACAGGACGGATATGAAACGAAATAATTGAGACATGGAACGAAAATATGCCGGGACAATAGAGGGACGAGTCGGGACAGCTTGCAGACAATCAATTGCATCAGTTGCACAATGTGGCACGTGCCACTGCCGACAGGCGTCCTGTTGACTCACGCTCGCCGCCATCAGGAGGGGATCGTCGCGACTCGTCGGCGGCAGCGGCGCCGGAAATGGAGCGCTCCGCGGCTACTCCCAGTGATGACACGACCTGACGCCGTCCGAGACTCGTCACTGGCGTCATCGGAAAACAGAATGCGGCAACGCCCCGATCCGGATGGCTGGAGATGAGACCTCACAAGGAGCCGTGTAGTTCGCTGAAGACATCCGCGATTACTGCTAACAAAGGACACGGATGGTGGTGAATGACCTCAGATAACTCTGCCCATTTTCACCCGCGGCGAACAAAAACTGTTTTGCGGGGGCATGGTCTATACTATTATTTGGACGTATTTTCGGCATATCGCATTTTAGGGCCAATTGAAAAGTCGTGTGTCGTTATATTTCTTTGTTGGAGATATACACCCCGTTTACATGAGTCAGCGAAAATGACGTTTAGAACGGATATTTCCGTTTAGCGAAAAGTGCGCAAGTTTCGACTCATGTAAACTGGTTTGGGCGCGCAAAAATGACGATTACGCGGAACGGAAATATCCGTTTAGGACGTCAGGCCTAAACGGATTTTTTGCACATCTAGCAGAAAATGACATGAATATGCATGTTTTAAAGATGAAACTTTTTAGTTTACACAACAAAATACATATTTATCTTGAATGGTAGGTCTAATGACAATGAAATCCACCTTTTGCCCCTGATTTCGCGCCATTGTGGCAGATTCATGAAGTACCTACATAAGTGTTGAGAGGAACGTCCTATGCTTCAAAAGGGAAGCATTCTAGTTCAGGGGTAATTTCCTTATTTCTTAGATTCAACAATCAGGGTTCAATTCCAGGGCAACCAACATAGCCTTCCCAGCCAGTCGCTCCCTATAGCCACTTGTAACAGCATGCTAGTGTCATCTAGTGCTTGGTACACTGGATATGATGCTTGATTTATTTTGCTTTAGTACATGTTCCCAAAAATTTTCTCTACCTAGGTACTTCAAACTTCCTAGCAGTGATTCAGATAACTTATGCTTCAGCGAACAGCCACCAGACGGCAGGGCACGCAGGCTGGTTGGGACAGTAACTTGGCTGCATGCCAAAATATACACAAGACACACAGCCAAATTTACTCAGTGACACTGCCATCTCCCCCCCCCCCACCAATATTTAAATGTTCACCTTATTGTTCCAAAGAAGTAGATTCTTCAGTGGTGGGAAGGTCTCTGAAAGTTTGGTTAATTTCGAATGGTGGAAGCAGGCAACTGGCAGGTTTTGTGGAATTTGTAGAATCATACCTAACCTTACCTACCAACCTATCTTTCAACCTACCATCCTTCAAACACACCTACCTACATGCCTACAACCTATTATACCAAACTACTTCCTACCAATCTACAAGGTCAACCAACCTACCAAACCACATAGGTACCACTCGGACTTCATCTTCACATCTTACCTGGTGTGATTGAGAGTGGATTATTCTATGCATTTTGAAAATTGCACTGATAGTGTCTTAAAGTTTGGTGGTGAGTAGATGTAATTTATGTTATGACTAAAACACATGGAAATGATGGATACTGTGTTGCATCCGACAGTCAAGCAATGCACCCACAGGTCAAGGTCACATCTACTACACAATTCACCTAGTACTGATCTGACCCCTGTCTTTGAAGAACTGAGCAGCTAAAAGCAAAAAATGAAAATAAAATGCTGGAATATTCAAGTGCTTCAAATGTGTCAACCAAAAATGTATACACAATCCCGTACCACCCACTTTCATACCAATGTTTTCTGAAGTGTGGCACCATCCTGTACATTCTTTCATGCATTTTCATTTTGTCAACTTACTGGAGGTCCAGCATGATGAGCTATGACTATTATGAGCTGTCTTAGCCTTTTTCTGAAATCAAAAAGACTTTCAATATAGATGTGCTCTTCAATGTTGTCCAAGACCTCAATTGTTTTCTTGCTTTCTGACAGTTTATCACACTCTTTTACAGCACACAAGTAAAATAATGGCTTGTGCCATGATTATTTCCAATTCTACATACAAAACTTCAAAGAATCAAGTAAATTAAGCCTAAAACAAGCACAAATAATGCTTGATAGGAGCTGCGCCAGACATGTAAAAATGCGCAAAATATCCGTATTTTTCGGGCTGCCGGCGTAAAGGGAATTATCCGTTTCGGAACGGATTTTTCCGACAAGGCTCATGTAAACGGGGCCACCGAAACGCATTTTTCCGTTCCCTGGCTAATCGGATATTTCCGTTTAGGCTGAATGACTCATGTAAACGGGGTAATAGCTTCATATCAACTGGACTCGCCAGTGACCCGAGGCCCACCAATGGTCAGCGTCATGTCGTCAGTTTTTACGAGTATATTTTTCTCAGTGATGCTCTCAACGCATCGTCCTCCGCCGAGCAGGGTCTCTGGTTTACCTTCTATCTCCACTGGTTTCCCATGGCCCGACAGCAGAGTTATGTCTGCCCGGCCCGGCCTGTGTCCGCCGGCGGTGACCTCCGGGTCCACTGTGTCCGGGAGCGGGCCCGGAGCCGGAGCCGGCTCACGGCCGGGCCGGATCTGGGGTCAGAGGCGTGAGCCGGTGGTCAGCCGTCAGACCACAGCCGGCGAGGGACGCCGGTGGGCGGCTCCCTGCCAAACATAGAGTCGCCGCCGAGTCACGGCCGAGGATCAGTGTCACGACTCGCACGGCAGCGACACTGACTCCCCACTCAATATGCCGTTCAACATTATGCAGATTCTCTTTGTGGTGTTGAATTCGGAAGCAATGAACGATGGGGCGATAGCATTTTGGAGAAATGCGATAAACTGAAATGCAAACACCTGTACTTTTTACAGATTCCTATTTCAACCCAAAAACGAATGCTTACGAGGCAAACAAACAAGCATGCAAGCAAGCGAAACAAGCAAGCAAGGCCAGTCATTTTCGTTAACCGGCACCCAGAAGTTTACAACCGTTCAAGTGATGATGGTGTTTTCCGCCTTATTTGCTTCCTCAATTATTTCATTTATTTTTGTCGACACCAGCAAAACAGTTCGGTACCCCACCGGGCTGCCTAGATTCACTCAATATATCCTGTGCCTAGACACCTGTGAAGTCGCGCTCGGTTGCATCACCTTCACGGTCCGCCGGTAGGGTCACCCGATCGTCCCCCGGATTCGGACGCACCATAACCTGATGCTGATGACTGGCGCTGAACGGCGTTCCAATGAAGACTCCTTCAACACGTCGGAATTCCCGGCGGCCTCGCCACACACGGCTACTGAGAGGCATTGAGTGACATCGTACGGTGGTTTGAATCTGCAAACATGTGCTTCCTAGTTCCTTCTGCCATTTCTTATCCCGAGTCCGAGAGAAGTATCCTTTCTTCCGTCCGCGAGGCTACCGAAGACAGTCAGACAGACCGGGGTCGCGCGAGACGAGACATTCCGGAGATTGAAGAATAACCCGCGCACCGACGGGGGTCTGCGCCAACTTCGTACCGACGGGGGGGGGGGGGGCGGATGACCGCCCCCCCCCCTGAGATCTCGAGAACGAAGCAAGATAGCGACAAGCGGTAAACGGCATCGGATACGCACGGACAAGGTCTACAATTTTAACAAAGATTATTTTCATGTCAGGTCAAAGATGACGTCACAGGGGTCAAAAAAGTCAATGGCGGCGCTAGATAAGGAGAGAGTTTTTCTCGAATAACTTTCGGATTAGTCATGATAGGAACCAACTAAGGGCATCATCGTGATCCTCTCGTCAATCCGCTTCGAATGATATATATGTTGACCTCGAAAGGTCAAGGTCAAAGGTTGACCTCAGGTCACGTGACCTCGAGGTCATCATGTATATCATTCGATGCGTCTTGACGAGCTGAACACAATGAGACCATCCGCGCGGCTGTATCTTGTTCCTGTACGGAGTTATTGGCAAAACACCTTTGGTGACCTTTGATGACGTCACATGACCTTACAGCTGCCCAACAGCAAAACAGACCTCAAGGTAGTGAAGATTGATCGTATATGAAGTCATGTATGGTATGTGGGGCCATTCCGACCCGTTTTAGTGGTAAAAACAGGGAGTTGATTTTCCCCCATTGACTTATAATGGGGAGGTCGCGAAATTGACCTGACCTTAGGTCACCGATATCAAAATTCCGAGATATACAAATTGTAGCTACTAATGACCTAATAACATCCTGCGACTTTCAAAGGCCTCCGACATCTACTGTCGCTCTGACACGGTGACAAAGTTGCAAAAAAGTGACTTGAGGTTGGGTCATTCAAAGTGACCTGGTGACCTGACCTTAAAAGTTAGGAGGTTCAAACTTGCACACCATGTGTAAAATTGATGAGAGAATAGTCGTGCCAAATTTCGCGGCGCGTAGCGCCGCGGTTTTCCCGCTATCCGCGAAAAACCTCAGGGGGCGGATATCCGCCCCCCCCCCCCGTCGGTGCGCGGGATAATACAATGATGACACTGTCTCGGCTTTGAAGGGGCAAAAAAACTCGAGCCAAGCAAAGTAGCTAGTCGATAAATCATAAGGTCGCCATTTTGCAGATAATAATCGTAAAAGAAGTTCCTATAAGAAGGTCGTATTGCGTATATAATTCAATTCCGTTTGCATATTAGGTATTCGAAGTTTATTAGCGACATCCTGGCCTTGCTAGCTCCCTTCGACTAGCTCCTCTCGGGTTTGACGAATTGACGAATTGATGAAAACTCCGATGACCTCTACTGACTCTATAGTCCCCGCACCTATACATACTTCTTTGGGTATAGGTACAAGTTTTTGACATACATCAACCTGTTATGGAAGCCATGAAAAAAAAATGATCGAATCGTCTGACAAAGAATTGTCATCTTTCCTACCCTAGATCGCGGTTTCTGCGTTCCCCTCCTCCTTTGAGTTATAATGGAAACGTGTCGTAATTGACCTGGCCACAAGAGGCCTGTCAAACGGCTTTTAATAAGGATTTAAAGTTTTTATACCTTCGCCACTGTCTGCAACAAGAAATCTTGTGGCCAGCCATTGTCATTGCTAGCTGCGACGCATAACTGTAGGTATATGTCGTACCTACCTTACATAGCACAGTCGCAACTCAATTAAGCTGAATGCCATCATTTTCGGACAGTGACATATTTAGGTGCCGCCGATAAATAATTAATAGGTACACCCTCCTCCACATACCAAACCGCTCGACATCCCAGATCGTGACTGTATCCGCATTGCATCGGAGTGCAGGATTACCTGTTGTAGCGGCTCCGACCGCTTACGGGACCCGCATCCCCATTGGACGACGATAGCCGATCGGCGGCAGCCGGGATGCGGCGCCCCGGGCGATGTCGTGCCGAGGACGGTGGGTATATAGGGTCGGCCGTGCCGGCGCCGCGCCACTCCGCCAGAGCTGTTCACCATGAGCCGGACCAGGACACAGCCGCTGCTGCCGCTGCTGGTGGTCGGGGTGATGACGGCTGCACTGCTGGCGGTCTGCGAGGCCCGGCCCGGCCGGCCCACTGGCTCCCCGCTGAGTGAGCGCGTGCCGCCGCTGCCGCCGCCGGCGGGCACCTCTTCGCTGCTGGACCGGGTGCCCCCTCCGCCGCCCGGCGGGCCGCTCTCGCTGTCTCTGTGCGTGCTCTCACGGCCCGGTGTGCCGGCTCCGTCTGTGCCAGCGCCGGTACCCGGTCAGCCAGGTAAGAAACCACAGCAGCCTATAGAAGTATGGAGGGTCTCCTCTTCTGGGATCTAACGAGTATCGTCTGTGGCCTGATATTCTGGCGGGTGCCTCTGTCAAAGGCGTAACGGGTGTGATATGTGAGTTATGACCTGGCAACCTGTCAGGTCTCCTCTTCCGAGAGGCTAATGGCCAATGGGTGACATATGACATACCTAATAGCCTGGGTATCTCTGTCCAGTAGCGGCGGAACACCTTCAATTAGGGGGGGGGCCGACTTTTGGTCCCATTCATTCCATGCAACGCCCATAGGGCTAATGTTAAAATGCCAAAATCAAAGGGGGCATGGTGCCCTGGTGCCCTCCCCGTTCCGCCGCCTGTCATCCTGCTGAATGACTTCTGTGGGCTTTGTAGGAGTCCCCATTCACTTTTGTAGCCAAATTGACTAGACGTCACTCTGACGTCATTTCCTGCCGGCACATTTGGGTGCAAAATTTTCCTTGGCACAAATGCTGTGATAGTGATGCAGCCGAAGGCAGTGAAAGTTTCCACGAAGTCTCGGTCAATGAAAAAAAAAATACCTTCACTTCAAGGATCATCAATCGACTTTCCATGTACAGCCCTCAGCAGACTGCGTGGTAGGTATTCTTTTTTCGACAAAACCGATAATTACTCAAAGGCTATGTCAACAGTCGGTCGGAACTCACTTCAAATAGATGCGCCATGCTCCACTCCTTCGATTGGGTCTATTACTAAACAAAATAAACGGTTTGTGTGGCAATAAAATGCAAAAGTTTGTTTTGGGGGCAAATATAAACTTTTGGGTTTTGCTGCCAAACTGGATGGAAAATGAATAAGATGATAATGCCAATCCAAGGTGCGGTATCTCGCGCGTCTTGCTGTTACGATTTTCGAGTGACCGATAGCATAGTATTCGCGTTATTCTCCGTTTTGTCGGAAAAAGAATACCTACCACGCAGTTTGCAGAGGGCTGTACATAGTCATAGGTAAAATGCATTGTACTGATTATTTCCTGAGCCATAGGCTTCTCTAAATATATAGAAAAGTCTGTGCCTCAGCGCATCGCCTATGATAAGCCTGATTTCATTTTTCGATATTGCTCACCTTCCTTTTTTTCAGTTGTGAACGACGGATAAAGACCTCTGATGAGAGATGCCATGTCTCTCCACGCGAGAAGCGCAATCGCCACTGACAGCGCAGCTCGGCGAAGATGACCTCAGGGTGCCTGGGGTCGCTCAGCTCACGACCCGTGTGCCTTGGTGTTCAGCTCCACCGGGAAAGCCGAGTCGTGGTGAGGTGGCTCACGAACAGAAAACGCCCGGTTATAGCAGTTGCTGCAATCAACATCGGGACGTGCTGCGCCGTTCTGTCAAGTTTTTAGTAACAGGTTTCGTTTGAGATAGAAATTTAAATATACCCAGGCTGTTGAGATGCTCCCTCGGGCAATGATACGTGACTTTCTGTCGAGAAGTCAGCTCTTTTTATGTGACCAGTAGACAAGAGGGCTGGCTATCAACTGCATGTATTATTGTCAAACGTGTAATGATTGCGTAAACAAATGGATATCACCCAGGTGGGTGCATTCCTACAATTCTGTTTGCGTGTTTTGAACTAGTTATTGTCGTTTATCGTCTGTGATGAGTTTTTGTGCCTGACTGAGATAAGTTATCGATGACCGTTCAATTGCCGGTCGTCTTTGATATATGCATGCTAATTTTTCGTAATATACAGTTGTGTGTTCTTAGCGATACTGCGTCTTTTCTCTTCATCGCCATGGTTACTCAATGGACAAAATGTCATAGGCTGATTGGCAGGAACCATGCAATAATTCCAGCATCAATCATGAGGCTCGCATGCCACCAATGGCATCGCATCGCGTGGCATAAGAAGTCGCTCACAAGACGGACCCGCTCACTAAGTGCCGTGTTAGGTGAAGGGACTATTTTGTTTTGCTCTTGCTTTCCACTGACGACATTCTGGTTAGTGTCAAACGGAGTCAATCAAAAACAGTCACAAAGCACCTTTTTTATCGATCGGTTTATTTGTATTCACCTCAGAGTTCATTTACTTGGCTGTGTTTTTACCGATACAGACGTCAAGATACGCGTGAGCGGATACACCAGAACGGCTACTGAGTGCTCGTTGGTGATCCGTCTTTTGGGACGTCTTCTATTTACATTTTGCAATCTGTAAATCACTTTATTCACACGAACGATGCTACAGATACACATCAATATAAGCTGACTTATCCAGTATAGGTCACGTCAAGTGTTTGTCAACTTCCAGACACGTGACGCGATTGTCATGGAACAATAATGGTGATTATCATGATAGAACCCACACATCACCCCAACAAAAGCATCGCCTTCACAATACACGTGAATATAAACACATCGACACAATACACACTAACTGCTAAGCAATTCTTTCAGCAAAATCTCAAGCCCCTTCATGCAGCCCATTTGCACTATACGGAAAAAATATCACGACGTAGGAGAAATTTCATTCAACCAGAATATACGCACACTCATTGTTCCTGTCCGCTGGACATATTTCTGAACCAAACCACACCACACCCGGGGTACCAAGGACACGTGACACTCACGACCAAAACACACCGCCTCATGCACCGCTCGCTCTGGGCACGCCCGCCACCTCTGTCGTCGCCTGCGACGGCTCACAGGCCGAGGTCCTCGCTGATTTCGCTGCCGCTGTCGGTACACTCGGAGGCGGAGCTGTTGGTTCGGTGGAACGCCTGTCGCAGAATGGTCACCAGCCGAAACACGTCCGTGAACGAGTTGTAGAGCGGCACCGGCGCCAGACGCATCACGTTCGGAGAGCCCGCCTCGCCGTGACGGATGTCACACTGTGAATGACAAGTGCGAGAACGTTAGGTTACCCCGGCGGCCGCTGGGCCTTCGCGCCACCCGCCGGCCGCTGGGGGGGGGGCATAAAGTTGCCCCCCCCCCTTTACTTCTGCGACGATATCGTCGCAACGCGAAGAGATAGAGAAGCGAAACTTTGCACACATCTTCCTGAATACCTAGCCGAGGTTGTGTCCAAATTTGGTGTCGATCCCATTTGAGATGACCTCACAGTGACGTCATAAGTGAAATTATAGATTTGCGACTCTCATATTCCTCACGATACATCACATATATGGGACCGAATATAAAGGGCCGATTATTGGTCAGAAACTAGATGGAAGTGTAGTAAGATGTTTTAGGATGACAGCAGGTGCTGTCTAGTTCATTTACAGTCGAGTTTCATGCTCAGCGTCATCAGAAACGGTCCATATCGGAAAACGACAAAACTTTATGACGTCACTGTGACGTCATCTTAGGTGCTACAACCACCAAACTTTCCTCAAACATTGCCTAGGTATTCATTTGAAGCTATGCCAAGTTTCACGTTCGTAGCTCATCAGGTTTCGGAGATATTTCACAAAACGTAAAGGGGGGGGGGCAACTTTATGCCCCCCCCCCCCCAGCGGCTCGTGGGTTACTGAACTTGACGGTCAGGTCTCCGTACTGAACATTACTGAAGCTCCCAGGTTATTCATACTTTGCAGTCATGATACTACGCTACTTATAATCTAGTCGCAGCTGGAGGCCCAGGGTTAGGGTCTTGTAGCGACATCTGGGGTGGTACGGTCTCTGTGTATCAAACATCAGTAAGGAAATAGAGGCCGTCTACTGGGGGAGTCGATTCACCGGAAGGTCGCCTCCATCCATCCTCTAAAAAGCGCTTACGAGCACAAACAAAAGTCAGTTTGAACTAGGGAATGAGCTATATATACTAGCTATACGACCCACCACCCCACTCACTCCTCTTCTCTCTCTCTCTCTCTCTCTCTCTCTCTCTCTCTCTCTCATCTCTCTCTCTCTCTCTCTCTCTCTCTCTCTCTCTCTCTCTCTCTCTCTCTCTCTCTCCTCCCCTCCTCTCCTCTCCCCTACCTCCACTCCGCGTCGCTTCATCTCGGCGTGGATGTTGTGCGCGTTGGAGAACCGGAATGACAACTGACAGCCGCGCTGGGCCGGGTCGGCCGGAGTGATCTGCTCGGCCTCGGGCAGCTGCAGAGAGATCACAGCTCCGGTATCCGTCAGC